CAACCACACCTCCAGACCTCAAGAACCATTCATGAACGGCCGCCCTGGCTTCTTGTGGAGAAGAGGTCAACCAGACCTCCAGACCTCAAGAACCATGAAGAAGAACTGGGAGTGTGCACCTCCAGCCAGTGGAACCTCGGGGCTTTGGGGTGGCGATTTCAGGATCGACGTCCGGACCGCGTGCGTCCTGGGCAAACCCGGCGCCGGCATGGGACTCGGTCCTCGTAGCTGGGAGGAATGGCTTGAATCTCACCTGCGGACGGAAGAGGCTCACCATTGACATCACCATGGCAGTGTCTAGTGAGTGTCCCACCTAGGACCTATAAGCAATGCTAAGCTGCTAGCCAGTCCTCAAGTTCTTAGGACCTGAGGGATCTTTTCGCATGCTTGTGAACCTTGACCGGGAGCCAAAAAAGACACTCTCGTGAAGCTTTCCGTGCTTCAACAGAAGCTAAGCCCGCCAGCCCTCTAAAACGCCGCGTGCTGCGTCCACCAGAAAAGCCCCTCCGGCGTTCGACACGACTCGAGAATCCGACGTGAGCGCCGCACCTCTGACCAAGGCCGCAGTGTTGATGTATTCCAGCTTCTTCCTTGGATCTTGATAGAGCTCCTCACAGGGTTAACGACGGGCACGCGCATGAAGGGCGAACGTTCGCATGAGAGAAGACATGCAAGTCTCAATCACTGCATAAGGTCCAGCTAGAATTCCCCATCCATACTCTCGGCCACCAATCGGTCACATGTCAGGCCAGTTGTGTCCTGGTAGTGAAGGTTGGCCAGGCAGGCCTTCTCTCCAGCTTTCATCTGGCGCGAGCGAAGGAGCAATGACCGAAGGATACCGTATACCGCTGAAGGCGAGCTTCCGGTTCGGCGACCAGCCAAAACGTGAGAGTTCAAACCATCTGATCTGAAACGCGAGTGATCCGGTGGCTTCACCTCAAAATTTGTCCCAAGACCGCAGGGTGGCAGAACAGAACGAGTCGCCACCACGAGCAAGAGGAGCCCGCAAGCGAGCAAACATGCAAACTTGAAACCACTTCCAAAGCTGCTTCTTTCCCTTCTTTGCATTTCTGACTTTTTTTCTGAGTCTCTGCATTCTTTCCCATCGGGGAGCCCAAAGGAGCCACCGTCCATGAGACGATGGCAGAACCCGGTTTCCTCGCACAACACGTGGGCGACACAATCATTTGATCATCATTTGATCATCGATTATCTAGGATCATGATCTACAATCTCAATGTATCTCAACACACTTGGCGATCGCCGCTGGAAATTCATCGAAGAAAGATGGAATGGTGGAACCAACCCCACAGACGACAAACCGCACCTGCGTGTCACGGATGAAAGGATCACCTCCTCCACGCGTGAGGTTGGCCACAAAGTCACGGGCATATTCCATGAACATGCGCGTGCAGCCTGCAGTCGATCACGGCAATGAAAGAGAGAGAGAGAGAGACCTTCAGTGTGCGAGACCGAAACCAAAAAGACCTTCAGAGCTCCGAGGGAGACCGCCACCCATGGCTGATTAAACCAGAAGCTATCTAATCAACACATGATGTGCACAGGGTCATCCGATTCAGCACCCAGCGTTGAAGGTCACCAATTCCACACCAAGGCATCAACAAAAACTGCTTCACAATCGCCTCCATCTCCTCCGAGTCCATCATACCAGGACTTTCTCCAAGTCCCGGCCCCCAAAACAAAACATGGTCGGATCTGCCCTCTGCCAGGATCTGCCAGCTTGGGAAAGGTCCTCCAATCTCAAACACTTCATGAGGTCTCTCCGAGGCCAAGGGGGATCGGTCGGGGGACGAACGCAGCCAGCTCGACCGCGAAAACCGGGACGCGACGTCGCGTCCGCCAAGTGGCCCGGGGAATTCACGAGGCAATGCACCAAGTCCTCCAAAGAGTGAGGTCAACAATGTCAACAAGCTTGAACGCCGCCCTTTCTGACGGGGTTGTGCAATCCAAATGGGGGTGCCTTCGTTAATCAAAAAGGTCTACATGACTGAGTGACTGTGACTGTCGGCTTCAGAATTCATGGCATGATAAGGAAAAACTTGTCATACGGCCAACATCGGCCAAATATGTTTTGTATGACAGTGTCACGCCAAGAACAAAACACCCCCAAAAAGAGGTCTTCTGCAACACGTTGCTTCTGCAACACAACCTTCTGCTTTCAGTTAGGTAGCTGGAAGTGACCCACCAGTATGTGGCTTGGTGTGATCTCGCAGTCCATTTGACGATCAATGGCCCCATGATCGAATCGTTTGGTAGGCTGCATGCATAGGAAGGTTGATTTCGATGCTGTTCCAAACTAGTCTGGAATGACCACCTCATATGGTCTTGGGGAACAAACGAGGGCAACAAATTGATCGAAGACTGGCGACTAAATAAATAAGCTATACAACTATATACATACACTGTAACAATGCATGTATACAAGAACATAAATTGTATATATATATATATACAGTATATATACTGTCGGTCTCGTCCGCAGCTGCCAGAACGTCCAACAAATATCAGCTAAATGGATTTATCTCCTTCTTTGGGCGTGTTGACTGGCGTGATTGTATGGATTCGACGCAATGCTCATCACCACATCACCCCAAGACTCACAGCAAAACGAAGCAACGCCGCCACTAAACCGGCAGCTCACACCACGCCAAGCGTGGCCGAGCACGTTCGCGGGTCTTGGCCCCAGCCTCGCCGTCGAGGACAAAGGTCTCTCCGAAGGTCTTTGTGGCCAAAGTGGAGTTGTGCAACATGCCGTCCTTGGATTCGGCGCGGGTGAGGTGCGCACGGGTGGGGAGCAGCCACCAGCGAAAGGGCGGCGGAGAGTCGTCCGAAACGGGTTGGTCGGACCACTCATCGGTGCTGGTCCAGAGAGAGAGAGAGAGAGAGCTTGCGGCACCAAATGTGTTTTTTTGTTTGTCCATAAGCGGCAATTTTTGCTCAATCATCGCGAGTTGAGGGAGGTTGGATGCAAATAAGGTGGTGCTTTTCACCTCCGGGCGCGGCCGTGGTCGGACGGTTTCCTTTAGTTTTCCAAGCTTTCCAAATTGATCGAAAACGCCCTGAAGGATCCTGAAGGGCGAGGCCAAGCTGCCACATAAAGGCTTGCTTCCTCAAACCAGTTTGTGCCCTCAATCGATTGTGGCGAGCCCTCTTGCTCCACATAGCTGAAGGTACCTTTGCTGCACAACGGGCAGGAGTTTTCATGCGCCGGGCGCTTGGCCACTCTGGGAATACAAATGCTGCACTGCTTGGCAACTTGAACATTCTTGAACGTCCCCCCAAATCTTGGGCAACTGGAATGACCGGGATGGACAACAAATAAACTATTTGATCAGAACACATCCAAACTATCACCTATTGCATTGGGCAAAGGCAACGACAAGAAAGGCATCCCTTTCTAATCCTTTCTAAGCTAAAGACTGGGAAGCAGAACTTGCTGAGCTGATTTCACAGAGCCTTTCTCCTGTGGCTAGCCAAGTGGTTCAGTGGTTTGCACGACGTAAACATCCACTCCTGAAATCTCCAAACTCTCCAAAATCTCGGCTCGGAAGCAACGCGATCTGCGGCCGTGCAGCCACTGAGTGTCATGACCATCCCCTTTGCCCAGGAGCCAAACATATAGACAGTCCTGGGCGACCACGCGAAGAAGGGAGCGAAACCGAAGAAGCATGACAAAAGGAACATGCACACCCCCTGCGTGGCCCCCCGGGTCGTGACACATCCATATGATTCTGGCCTTGAGCCCATGCAGAAGAAACATCCCATCTATATATATCAATCAATATCCAGAGAAACGTTTTCCAAGAGAAAAAGTATAGACCAGGAGAGATTTCTACAAAGGGAAACAAAGGGGAGACATGTCCAGAGAAATCCATATATGTTCAGAGATCCAAAGACTCGAGAAGACTCGAGACTTCCACCACATCACAACACATGTTCACAACATCTCAAGCCACCACACAGTGACACACTTCGCGACACCGAAACCGCAGGAAACACTTCACGACAAGTCACCAAACAAACACTGTATATATGTATCAATCTGATCTGTATCAACCAGCAAATTCTCGAGCTTCACCGCACAGCCAAACACGCAACTCTTCCCTTACAATTCAACTTCCGCCTCCCGGCTGGGAGGTTCGAATCCCACACCTGGCATCCACATGCTTCATGCAAACTCGCCTAAATCACCTCCAGGCCGGGGGGGTTAGAGTAGAGTAGAGGGTTGGATGCGTTGCGTTGCGGCACGTGAATGGTCGTTTCTGAGAGGTTTGGCCATGGGAAAAACAAACAGTTCCCAGTTCGGACCAAAATTGGGTGGGCCCGCAGTCGGCGACTCCTTATGCCAAGCCTGCGTGCGCACTCCAAGTCTAGGCTCAAGTAGAGATTGTCCATTCTGACGATCCCACTTGAGTGGGATGCTTCGAGGCGCTCAAATGTCGTTTCCTCTTGGGAGGCCGAAGTGCCTTCAACCCCCAGTGGCTTGACAAATTATACTCATAGTCTTCTCCCATGAGAACAGAGGTCAAATGGGCTCCAGGATGCTCTAGGTGTATAACCCTTCTAGACAACTTGCAGCTTCACCATAAATTGCCGCACAGCGTCTCAAACTTTTCGAACACGTCCTTGGACAAACATGCGCACAATTCCTCAGAGACCAGCGGAAGTCCGTCGAACCGCCACATGGTTGTGGTATGTCAGGAAGAAATACCAATTACAAGCACAGCCACAACTGCGGGTCAACCTTGTTGATCAATAACAATCTTCTTATGGATGTGTTTCACCCTCCAGGGACGGGGGTTATTCATCAACTGTCAACAGGATGTGGAACATCATGTCCTTCTATTTGTGAGACTTGATTTTTGGGATGCCGCTTCAACCTACCTCTACCCGCTCTACCCTGGCGAAAGTCCAATCATGCAGATCTGAAAAGAAGGGATCAGCGCGTGAGCCTGGTATTCTGAGACGAAAACAGCTCTCAGAAGGCACCAAGGATCTGCAAAGACGTCGGGATAGACGGCTTGCGATAAGGAGAAAATGGGCAGCTGCACCAGGTATGCATTTCTCCTCGGGCACAAAGGATCTCAGACAAATGCCTCAAATACTTATATTTTAATTAGTTATTTTTTCCTTTCCCCCCTCAATGCCTTCAATAGCCTCTTCCAAACAGCCTACTTGCTTAATAGAATTAAATAGAGAGATCCTAACTTCCAATCCACGTAGAACTGTCAAGACTCTGTCACCGTGCAGCCACAAAACTCACAATCCATCGCAATCCCGTGACCGCAAAGCTCTCTATTTTTTTAATTACTGCCTGGTCAGCCGCTCTGACAAGCATTGAGAAGCAAGTTCGGAGCCATTTGCTTGGGCAGTTCGCTACTACAGGCGTATTTGAGAGTGTTTCTCTACCAAGCACCTAGATCGCCTAGACCTCTTGCCAAGAAAAAGTGTAGAAACCGACACCGATCGAACCTGCACCGATTTCCAGCGCAGTGGCTGATTGACGTAGAGCTCGGTCTGTAGAGTCTTGGAGATCAAGGAGCTGTCGAAGCTGTTGTTGGACATCCTCGCAGAACAAAGGGCGTATGACTCGCTGTCATACTCGGCGCCGATACCGCTGTCATACGGTGCTTTCGGAACCGGCCGGAAAAGAAGCCATGCATCTGAGATGTGGTCAGCAAAATCTCCAATTCTTGGAGGCTCATCTGTTCCAAGAGAAGCTCCAAAAAAGAGAATTTCCAGAAGCCGGCGCACGGCCACCCGCCGCCGCCCCGAGGAGGAGAGACCACGTCGAGGCAAACGGACAAGTGTCATGAAAGCCCGCTCGAAAGTTCCAACAAACATCTCATCACACACGTTCCAGCCAAGCATCTTTTCCAGCCGGTAATCCACAAATTTCATGATTCGGCTGACCAGTTCGAAGGGTGCATTCTGGCTGTTCAAATACCTCACTGGCAGGATGTCACCGTATCAGGAGGCAGGTAAAAATAGAAATGCTCCTAGGTTGCCCCATGTTGCCTCACTTGCAAGAACACATAGCCCCACCAAAGCTGCAAGTCATAAACTGGATTCTTGAGGTGTTTGGCCTACTCGGAAACGTCATCAACTGGAGCAAACGGGCTTGGAATGAACTGTTGACAAATAAGTGTCCAATGATGTATTCAATACATTCTTTGACATTTCAGTAGCACCTTCAAAAAGCTCAGCTTCAGCTTGAAGCTTGAAACACGAGGCTGATATGAGTTCTGCATGGAAACGGCACACGAGGACCCACAAGCAAGTGATTCAATCTTCAACTGCTGATTTACCCACAGGGCTAAAGTTTTTGGCAGGATTTTGGGCATGTTGCTTCTCCCAATCTCTTGATTGAGGTCATGCAGCAGGTATATCACTTATCCTTCTGATTCTTGAGAGCTTGGGGTTTCTTCACTGCCAGGAGTACTCCGCGGTTTGGTCGGGATCATGAATTCCAATGCATCTATGGCTGTACAGGACATGAAGCCAACACCGACCAAAAATGGCCCTTGGACTTGTAGGGCATGCGGTATTAAAGGGGACTCCTTTACTCTCGCACCCCTTGGATGGTAAAGGTATTTGCGCGTTTCTTCGCACCTTGATACACCAAATCATGTTCATGTGACCCTGTGACCATCACAACTCGCAGTGCTTCGCGCATCGTCTGCGAATTGTCCAAGGTGCAAGCGGATCTCTCTCCTCTGGCGGTCATCTTCCTCACTGTTGGCACGCATCTCAGCTAATGCCTGGGAGATCTTCGATACCGCTGAACCTAAAACGATCAAGCCCAAGATGTTCGCGGCGGTGTCCTCGGCCCAAGCACATCGTCACACTGGGTGAACGAATGGATGGAGGCGGAAGAGCAGTGGGATTTTGGAGCAAGTGGCTATGGCGAGGGAGTCTTGCGGAGAAGCTAAAATAAAATACATCATGAGGTCATGAGGCCGGCACTTTTTAGAGGGTCTTCCAACAGGAGATTGGAATTCAGGGACAAAAGGCCCCTTAATGGGAAGATACCCATCCCACAACCACATCAGGGGGGCTCTAGCACCTACTATCTATACAATCCTAATCAAATACTCTGAACCTGCATGTAGCAAATTTGATGCCTTTCCCGTCGTCTGACGATTCACTTCTCTCCACTCCCCACGCTGAACGAAGCAAACCGTGTGTGTTGGTCATCTTCGCGATGCGAAGACAGCGTGTCACCAGCGGTGTTTCCTGGCGCACCGCACCTCCAACGTTTGGGTCTGCACCGATTTCAATTGAGGTGCCATTGACAGCTCAAGCAAGTTGTCTGGGGCAACCAAGGGCGGCGATGGTGCATTGATCACCTGCGAAGCACAGCAAACTCCAACATGACCTTGAATAGCGTGGAACTGACCGGCCTGTATTCCAACAATATAACGACAGCGTTCCAATTCCAGGTGGGTTTGTTGAAATCAGAGGCATACATGCCTTAAAGTCTTAAAGTTGCATTGATCCATTTTCACCATCACATGTCAATAATCTAAAAGATTCTGTAGCCAAGTTGCATAGCGCAGGGAATGCATGTACTGGGTAAAGTCGTCCTCCTCTTGTGCCATGGATATGTCTATCCATGAGATCTTGCCTCGACAAAGGGACAAAGATCAAGTTCTTAGCTAGGGCACTGCCGCCCAAATGTGCTGCCACAAACCCGCCAAACACATCCATGGACCATGGCGCACGTGCAACGTGCAACAACGACCCATGTGTTTGAGGCAAACAGCATTATACATCATATTATATATATATATACAACATCACACCATACTCAATGTTGGCTCTTACTCAATTGAGAATGATCTGTCGGGTCCTTCATCTGGCTCTGAATCTCTAGGGGGGGTCATTGATCGTTCGAGCGGCACCGTTACTTATCCTGGCAAATATGAGTAGTGTATCATCAGAACTGCATGCCACATGCGCACCTTCTGCAATGGAGGCTTGGCCGATGCCATACCACACACCTCACGGCCAACACAGCGAAGCACAGTAGAAATCCGTCAAGACTCTTGACCCAACTTCGGATTGATGGTTTATGGATGGTTTTTCTTTCACAACCATTTCCCCAAAAGAACGCCTGTGGGATGCAATTTTTTTGGATTTGAGCTCAGAGTCTTGAGAGGGGTATCTTTGAAGTGAATTCTTCTGGGAGGACCCTGAGATCTTCTGGCTGCGTTTTCCACAGGCTGGCATACATCTTGCAAACCAGGCTAGCAAGCTTTGGCAAATAGCTGCTTCGCCACAAGCAGTATTGGTCTGTTTTCTTAATTTCATCTGCCCATACGGTCACCAACATTGCAGCGAAACATGGATGCCAAACAAAACAATGTCCATGTTCCTCTTGAATTCTCGTCACTGATTCTGGCACCTCTGCAAACTTTTCCGACGAAGACTTCAGCCCGGGCGCAAGTCATCACATGAATCATGAAGATGATCAGCACCGCTGTGTTGAGGATGGCTAGCATGAAAACAATGCCCGAACGTCCTCACAAAGTGAGGGGATGTTCTGCCCGCGCATTCACGAAACGCGACGGGACCGAGATATGATGATGTAGCCGCTGAAGAGCTAGCCAACAGTTTAAGGTCCATCATAGCTCCAGCATGCAGCTATTTGGGTTTGTCATGCAGTCTCATCTCAATGATTTTTGGTCCTCTGATGTTGCTTGTTTAGCCGAAGACACTCATAGCCCCATACCCTTTGAGCCCGTAGGCACATGCTTTGCGTTGCCACCCAGTCCTGTGGACGCCACCATTTCTTGAATGATGGTCTTGAGCTTGCTGACCTGCACCAAAAGCATGAGAGAGTGTTTTCTGTGTCCCGCCGTCCCTGTGTGGTGGGATGATGTTGGATGTTGGATTCTCTTTGAGGGAACTGGTGCATGACATAGGCAACTTTGATTCGGTAGCTGGAAAAGCCCGTCTCAAGTTGGACATGACCAGGCTAAACGTGAGGGGCCAACCGCATCACGTTTGGGGGGCCAATCCACATGTGTTCGACCACCAGCGAACGATCAAAGGTGGGCAACCAACAGCTAGTTTAAGTTGAGCCTGATATATATATATATAGAGAGAGAGAGAGGTCTTAGTCTGTTTCTTTGCTGAATTAGGGCCCATCGAATTACTTTAGTACATCAAGAATGAGATGCCCGGCGGGAACATGCGGGAACCCACCAGCCAACCAGTATCAACCACTGCAAGCAACCGATCGAACCAGTGAGCGGACGCAAACGATCCTCTCAGTGGACTCCCCGCCTTCAGCAAGCGCAACAGGCGCAGGGCCCGCACCACTCGTAGAGCGCGCAAGTTTGAAAGGTCACCTGCAACATTGTCGCCTGCGCCGGCATGTGAGAGAGGTGGACATCGATTTATTTTAAATAGTAAGCCTCCAACAAAAGGAGTCTTGGTCAAAACGATCGCATGGGCCGAATCCCTACGCTGACAATCGGCCTTGCCTGATGTTTGACTCACACTGACAATGTCCAGGATGATGAGCGACATGTCGAAGAGCAACCAGCTCTTCAAATAGTGATACGCAATCTCCCGATGTGACTCGATCAACTGTCCTGAACAGGATATTCGGATATGTAAATCCCGTGGGTTCTTTGGTCAGATGTTATATAAATGTTTAGCATGTGTCTCATGAAGGAGGGATTGAGATCAGGCTAAATCATTTGCGACAAAGGCAACAACTTCAAGGCCAGGCAAGACTTCCACGGATCACCCTCAATGTGCTTGCAGTTATTTGACCCACAAAATTCACATGTAAATCCAATCCAGGCACAAATGAGCATCCAGAAAAGTGGCCATGTTATGTCATGTTCAATACTCATGTTCATACTTCAAGTACTTTTCCTGGAACTCACATGGAAGTGCGAAAACCACCTGTCAGCGGAAACTGGTCTTCCACTTCCAGATCCAGGGACCCAACGGGACCCGTTGCGGTCTCTTCTCGCCAACCGTCGAACGCTCCGTGGCTCTCACCGACACCCCGCGGCGTGGCTCGAACGCCGCGTGAACGCTGCGCTCCCCTCCTTGGGAATAGACGGCCGTGTTGAAGTTCACGATGATGTCCGAACCTGAGCCGTTCACGGGGGAGATGGGAGATGGGCCGTGTCACATGAGAACTTGCCGTGCCGCCTGGTGCCGGAAAGTGATCTTCCAAATAGCCAAGTCAAGTCTGTCACTAGTAATGAGCAAGGTGCCTTACCACTAGTGACAAGAAGCTACTAGTAGCAAGGTGCATCGCTACTGGTAGCAAGGACGCTACTAGTGGCAAGGTGCTTACTACTAGTAACAAGGTGCGCTATTTGGAAAAACTTCCCTTTGCTCCGAGCCTTCAGGGGCTTTCTCATGCATCCAAGGCACACCAGTAGACGAATCCCGACCAAAAGAACAAGGTGAGCAACCTGGATGAGTGAATCAGTCAGGAATTCCGGAAACAAACGGCACCCCATTAGCTTGGGGCAGTAGGATTGTGAGTTTCACTTGAACCTCTGGTTGGGGGTGACAACTCATTGAGCTGTTACCCAGTCTTGATTGGTGCTTGATTCCGCGGGCCGTTTTGAGCACCCTCCTCCATGCTTCAGACCCTTCAGAGTGAGGATTCTCTTCAGATCACGCCAGTTCCACTAGCGGCCTACAATGACATCCAGATGTATCTTAAAAATAGGGAGACCTCCCAGTTCGACCCCCTGAAAGGTTCCGGAGAAAAAAAAAACACAACCCATTGGGCCAGGGGGTAGACCCCAGTTCTGCACCCCAGTTCCCGACACCACTGGATTGTAGAGGAACATGAGGAAGACTACGGGTGAATTCTCAGGGTCTATGTTAGTTGATCAAAGACCCACCGCCCGGCCCCTTTGGCCCCTTTTGTTCAGTCCCCAGAGGACAACGTATATACTTTATATATACTTTATATAATACCATCCTATATTCCTATGGAAAATTGTACATTATGTCTTGGATTGGTAGTTGGATATATCAAGTGATCTACTCATCCAACTTATCCACTTGCTGTCTTCTTGCCTGACCATGCCTGGCTGCCTGACCAAGACCTATCCCTGGCCTGTCCTTCTATCCCCTGGCTGCAGCGTAAGCAGCGTCCCTCCAAAATGCGGGGTGCTCATGTTCATCTCAAAGGCCAAGGTCAAGGGCCTTGTTTTGCGCTGCAAGCGCTGTGATATTGGAGAGTCTGGCCATGCGCGGACTCTTTTCCGCAGCATGGCGTCTGAGAGATTTGCTGTCCAGGCAAAGGACCAAAAATGATTCCATCTGATTCCTCATCCCGGAAATTCACACATTCACCCTTAGAGGAAATAATGATTTTTTTCTCACGTGAGAACAATTCATTACTCTACTCAATCCTTGGAGAACATAAACATTCCCCAGCTCCCAAACCCAGGCCACGACGAAGGACTTGTGGTGGTCTCGCACACTTGACGGTCCGGTCTCTCCGAAAAAGGAACAATAGCACCTGAGCACCTGATCATGTTGAACGCTGGCACCCAACCCAGCATGTTGTCTAGTTCTTCTTATTGAGGATGTCCAGCAGCTGGTAGAGGACACCCAGTACCCAGTGTCGCCAGCCATGAGGAGGAAAAGGGTAAGCAGTGACCGTCAAATGCATGTTCTTTCTGCAGTACTAGCAGACTCCGTACAATGTCATCCAAGTTCAAGCAATCCAGAGAGAGGGGCACCAAACTTCTATGTGGCGCGGTCCAGCCAGGAAGACTGGAAGAGTCCGGTGGAGTTCTAAACTCCCACCTGCAGCGGATGATCAGTTTCTTCTAAGATATGGGATCACCTTTGGGCCTGGCGATCAAAGGGCGCTACTAGGGGCTCCTGGCCTTACTACTACAGTAGGAGCAAGGATGAGCAAAGGGCATCGCTACGAACGGAGCAAAGGACGCAAAAAAAAGACTCCACGATGCATCCACCAAAGGGGGACCCCAACACACCCGAACACAACGCGTTCCGCTCGTTTTCCCAAGCGGCAGCATGATGGCATCGGTGGACAGAAAGCAAAGGCCGATCCTCGAGACGTGGCGGGGCCGATCCTCGAGACGTCTAGCTTAGCTATGGGATCAGGCCATATCAGGTCTAGCTACCGGATTAGGATGCATGAGTCTGAGGAAGCACTCAAGTCGAAGTCGAAGTCTGGGACCCAGACTTAGTTCATGCATGTTCATGCGATCTGCTGCGATCTGAAGCATGACATTTATATACATAATTATATATATGTATATATTTTTTAAAATACACAAATAATAATTCACTTGCATGATTTTACGGAAAGCGGGTGGGGGTCGCGGGCTGCACATCTCCCCACACCCGCTCAAGAAGTTTGAGGCGTCCATAGCCCCAGCATGCCCCAGCAACGAGAATGCAACACAAGAAGGAGTTGAAAAGACGTTGTTTTCCACACACGGCCAGCCTGGGCCATGGCAGCGGACTCAATGGCCCAATCAAAGAGCGAAGCTTCTGCAGTGTCATGTCCCCAGGTCTGGTGAGTCAAATTCATCAACGGACACGGTATCCGTCTCCAAAAAGTGCCGGCACAAACATCGCACACATATTGCAGGTTTGAAAGGTGTCCTGCAACGTCTAGTCCTGGCCATGATTGAAAAGGCACCATGTTGCCCTGGCCGTGGATGTTGTATTGCGCTGAAGCTTTCTGGTTGGTTTGGCTATTCCATTTCTGGGGGCCTAGGCGGCCTAGCTCCCTTTTCATCCAAGGCACACATCCCAAATGACTCGGAAGTTGCCACCAGGATGGAAGGCTGAGTTGCTGTTCCTGAGGCCAAAGCCGAAGAACAAACGCGGACGTCCGCGGACGTCCGTGGACCCGGCTTCCCGGGAACTCCAGACCACACCCAGAAGCATGTTCACCATCCTTTCCTTTGCTTTAAGCATTTGAAGCTTACCATCACCATCACCATACTCACATCAACCGAGAGGGCGCCCGCTCCGTACACTGGTCAGTTCAGCTCCCTTCGGCATGCTCGACGCAAGCGCAAGCCAGTTGTCTTCCCCATCTGTCCGTCGAGGAAGCTTTCAAATCATTAAATTTATTCAACCTGGTGCGTCCAATGTCCAGTGACTCAACAAAACCGCCAAAAGTGGGTCCGCCTGGGGCGGATCTCGATCTTTTCTGCCGCCCAGGGTCATATGGAATTCAGAGATGCGCTTGGTGTCTTTCTTCACCAGCCTGCAGCGCACCCAGTTTCTTGTGATTCCAGCTTAGCTTTGCACTCTCGGTGCACATTAGCAGCTATTAGATGCTGTTAGCACACATCATTAGCCCATCTCCAACGGTTTTTCTTGGAAACCGGTGTCAGCCACAATTCAGCGCCGAGATTGGCGCCGAGCAACACCCCAAAAACCGAACAAAAGACCTGATTGACTGGTCTGCCTCCCTCGCTCGAAAAAACGATGAAGATCAAAATCCTATTCGCTTCCCATGGGTGACACGAGAGAACCGGTCTCCAGTCTCTGCTTCTCCAAATCGCCGAGTGACACCGACTTCAGGAAGGCGGTATCTTCACCAGCCCGGGTGGACAATTCCATCCACCTTGCAGCCAGGCGGAGGTTGGGGAGACGCATGGCTCGTCGGTGGCCCAGAGCTGGTGGTGTGCGCTTTTTTGTGCTTTGTGGTAACGACCATCAAGCAACAACCTGTCGGAGCTTTTCGTGCATTTGTAAAAGCACCATAGGAAAAGGTTGAGAGATGTTGAAAGTCCGACACCAATCGCTGGTGGCGGACGCAGAGTCTTTTTGCTTGGGGTGTCACCTGCTATTCCATCGACTTGGCACTGCGTGTCGGCATGTCGGGCGTTCTCGCAAAAACAGGTCTTAGCCCTCTCGCTGGTCATGTCTTAGCCGCATGGTCACGTCCTCGCCTGCCGTGTAGCCGAATGTCCTCCCCTTTGCTCGCGCCGACGCCGCCCAAGAAGTGCCTGGCCAGGAATTGGCGCAAAACGCAGCCAGGTGAACGATGGTTTGATCCTAATATTTAGACTCTTGATGAATAACCCCCGCAATATTTTTTTAAGCTATGTAATCAAAAGCCTACATTAGAAGCATCGCAGCCCCGACAGTTTTGAGACGTCCTATCTGTCCCTCGTTTTTTTCCTACGTGTCTTTCTTGGGCTGAGGGGTGAAGCTCAAATATAGACAATCATGAACTATCATCTTCTATCCATTCCATCCCATTCCCACCCTCACAATGGCGCCTTTCCCTGGTGCGGCCCAGTTCAACCTGCTCTTCTTTGCTTCGATGATGTCGATAATCAACTAGAGCAATGGGCCTTAGCTGCCGCCGGGCGTCCTTGGCCCACGTCACGTGGTGGCTCTGTTTCTTTAGGGGGTGCTAAACGGTTTTTCTCAATCTCCTCAGCCTCACTGACAGCTTTGCAGTCGGCCCTTCAACTTGTCTACGTCCCGCCCCGCATGTTCACTTGAGTAGCGTACAGGCTACGCAGGGATGTAGCATGATATAGCACCCTCAGCGTTTGCATGCCTTCAAACACTTTATGAAGAAAAGCTGCTCTTGCGCCAGCATGTTGTTCGATGAATCATCGTCCTTCCGGATCGCCTCCAGCATACATCATGGAAACAACTCAAAATTGACTCAGAATAAGACACAGCAAACACCTTGCTCAGTCTGGGCATGCCTCATGTCAAGGGGAGCGGGATCGAGCAGGGTAGCCCGAACAACTTTCGATCTCTTCGACTGAGCGGTTCTTGCTTCTCTTTTCTTGACTAGCCAACCCCCGCCAAAGCACGGTCCACAAGTCCCTGCATGGTTCACTGAAGTCATCAATGCCCTAAGGGCGGAGTATGACGAGACAGGGCAGATGGGCAATGACTTTTGCTACAAGGAGTCGAGACCCCTTTTTTTTTTCTCCGTGCACCTGCGACCACAGGCAATAGTCCATCGGTAGAGGAAAAGAGGACTCGTCGCGGGCGCGGTCTATAGGAACATTGTGGCACATTCTTTGTCTTTTTGGCCTGCTTCATCTGCAGCACCTCTTGCTGCTCCCCCCTCCCTGGATCGATAAGCCGCTTGCGCCTCTCTGGATCGATGCCCCATCCTTGGTGGAAACCATGTAGAGAAGAGTGCGCGCTGTCCACACAATACACCGCCTATTTATATAATGTATATATATATACATATATTCAGCACCCTGTCCACTTCTCATGCTGTGGTGCCAGGATGGATTCGCCAGTCGCTCTATTCAGCACCCAGCCTGGACCCATAGAGATAGAAAAGGGTGCTGGATATAACATCAAATGCAGATATGAAAACAAATCCTCAAGGCTTTCGCGCCCGGGGCCACCTTCCCAGGCCAGTACCCACATGAACCTCATGAGGGGGTTCCTTTCTGGAGGGTTTTGGGACGCTGTGTAGGCAGGCATCTTCCACGGCGCCAGCCCAAACCGAAACGAGCGGATGGTTATATACCCAAGTTACCATTGCGCTTAGCGGCACATCATGAGCACCCGTCCAGAAGCAAAAATATGTATATTATGTATGTTATATGTGTATATGATTGTTTATTATATGTACATGATCATCAATGTAGCATAATGCAGCCATCTATTTGCATGTCTATCCAAGCATCATGGTCATATGCAGCCGCTGCATCTTAAGCTGCACGGCATCGAAGTAGCTCTCCTGAGCCAGTTCTCAGAGTGGATGTGTGATTGAAAGTTGATGAAGATGGAATCTTTCCTCGCTTTCCTGCGGATAGTGTTTCATTCTGGATCTGGATGAATCTACGTGGAACAAGCATACTCTTCCTTGGTTTCCCGAACTCAGTTCGCAGCAAGCCTAGTCTCATCCTCCACATCCGAAACGACATCCTACATCATCGTGGATGTTCTAAGAGGAGTAACTCCGGCTTCCGGCTTTTCCAAGCAAAGGTCTCCGAAAAAAGCAAGGCAAACACTCCATGGGACCGGAGGACGTGCCTACATTGATGCCTTTGAAAGAAAGATCAAATGAAATAAATCATACGAAATGGAGTGTCAGTCTTAGCCGTTTCACCCACATCTTCTTTGGGCGACGGGGCGGCTACCGACCTTGGGAGCTGCGGTACGGTAGACGCCTCGAACTAGTTCGTTACTACGTATAGTGTGGTTCAGTCGAAACGCTTCCACACACTTTTTGGGAACAAGCTTTGGCACACATGTCAAACACAAAACGTTTGTTTTAGAGATCTGCCTATGCATGCCTGGCAGCGAAGAATCGTGGTGGGGCCTACGCGATCTGGCTTCCCATGCCGAAAGTCAGTGTAAGCACAAAAAACTGGGAACTTTCTTTGCGGGCCAATAACTAGGCAGTTCCGCTTTCATATAAAGCCTTACAGCCTTACATACCAATAAAGGACAACGCTCAAGTAGACCGAGCAAGCTGTACATAAAGTGTCAATTTGTCTAACACCAAGTAACTCAAGAAAATACCGTTAGAAGCTGCGGCGTGTCAAAGATTGATTGGCACCATCTTTATTATTCATTCTTACTGACTTCAAACGCCCATGTGCACACATGGCCCGGGCAAATGACCAACCGCCACCCTTTTTTGGGCGCTTGAGCACCGCCCGACTTTGGGGGGTTTCACGGGTTCCGTGCTGCTCCGACGAAACCACCGGGGCAGGGGTCCACTCTCATGTGTGGACGAGAGTGGGACGTCGGTTCAATAGCCTTGGGATGGCATTTGCCATGGGGAAGCCATTTCCTCGCTTGAAGAACCTCCATATGGCCATTGCCGCGTTTCCGCCCTTCACAACGATTCTAAAGGAAGACGTCTTTATCGTCTTTTTCTTGGAGATAGAGGTGTTATGGAATGTTGTGGGGAGTCAAGTAGCCGGACTCCTGCCTCCCCAACATTCCAATTTGAGGGCCATATCAGCTATATATCATCTGCCAAGGGTCAATTTCTAGCTTGAGCTCCTCAAATGCCTCCATGGTCTCTGCATCGCCTTGGCCACTTGCGATCTAACGACATGCAGGAAGCTTCTGCCTCCCGTTTCAACTACTATTTAGTCAACATAACTCACACAGCATAGCAACTGGCTGTAGCAACTAACTTGTGCAAGCAAAGTGTATAACTCCCTGTGACCTATGGCTTTGCAGTTCCTCATCTTGGTTCCAAACCGAGGGTGATCTTTGGAGCGAACTTTCATACGCTTGAAGAAGGGATCCTCCACAGGCCTGCTTCCCAATCTTTCAAAGACATGGAGGGCAAGGCACACTCCACTGCAGCAGCCATGGTGTGAAACCACCGGAAAACGGCTCCAGCAAAAGGGCTCTGCTCGCGCCCGGTCCCGAGCCCTCCCCAAAAGGAGACTTAGCTGGCTATTGTGTGTCTTGATGAGCTGTGCAAAGGGCCGATACGTGCGTGGGGCCGCGAGGGATGTCCATGTCTGAACTCTGAAAGTTCTGATTGGTCGAATTTAGTCAGTAGAAGCGAATAGGGCCCTTCCCGAGCCATCACAGAAGGCTGAGTGGCTTTATTGGGTTCTAGTTCCTATAGTATCTATAGTTTATTAAGAGACCTCTGGTATGCATTCGTCTTTCTTGATCGAAGGTTGCCTCATGTCCTCTGCGCAGGAGCCCTGCTTTGCAACTCACTTAGGGTTGCTTTTGAGCCAGTGGCGATTTCATGGGCTGGTCTTCCACTCTTCCTCATGAATTGACCTTTCCCTATATGGGTGGAAACAGTCGCAACCACCGCAGCCACCCACAAATAATGGAACACAACGAATACAATGATCAGTGTCTTCAATCCTGAAACTTCTTGGGAGCACCGTGGTTGAGGCCGTTTTGCACACATTCAATGAGATTCAATGATGAAACCACCTATATAACCGCACCACATGTTCTTTAGGAGTTTTCATTGAAAGGATGACAAGAATGCAACTCCTGGAGGGAAGTGTAAACGCCTAATTCCTGGCAGCCGTCTTCCCCTCTTTACATAGGGCTTACGCCTGGCAGCAGTGTGGCTTGTTTGGTTCGTCCGATTGTTCCACGTGCCCGCCGGGCATTTGTGACATTGGGCTTCACCTCGATATTCGCCTAAGCACGACTCGTGTCACGACATCACCCCTGACTATACAAGTGACAAGATTGACAAGCAAAAAAAAGGACCAAAAAGGATAGCATATTTTCATTGAGACCTGGAGTGATTGACTAGGATGACAAGCCTATTTCGCGCTTGTATTGCGCGCACTCGAAATTAGAGCACCCCTGCTTTGAACAAGACGTCTTTGTCTAAGTCTAAGCCTAAGTCTCTTGAACGTCCCTTCGCATAGACTTTCTGAATATGTCTACAATGTCATAAGCACGCATACGCACACAACAGCACATCATGCTGTGTAAAAACGCATACAGTATCATACAGCATCGAGTTGCTCGTTTTCTGCGAATCTTCCCTTGTCCTGCCTGCGGCACACACACGTGGCCCATGGAAGAATGGATGGCTACAGCTCCAGTTGCCTTCTTTTGCTGGCTGAGCCTGGACGAATGGCCCTTCCGGCCGGATTGCGTCTTCATTGCGTCCCTTCCCGGTCTGATGCAAGGACGGTGGGAGGTGATTCGAGGGAAACAATTCTTGGGACAAATGGAATGACCAGCTGCATCTGGCATCCAAACCCAAGTAGTTTCATGGTCCATATGTCCATCCCCAAAAAAACACTGCTTGCATATGCTTGCAGCTTTTATGTGCTTCACTGTTGAGAAGTGATGCCAGTGGGACCACGACACCAAATTCCTGCGTGGGCCACATAAGCTTTGGGGACTAACCGGCTCGAGGCCGGTAAAGCTTGACTGCAGCTGGCAACACTGGCAAAAGAACACTCAACAGCGCCCGAATCTACAGCCGCAAGTCCCACCATTTGGAAACCATTCGATATTCTAACTTATACAGTACAATGTTTTGCAACCCAAAAGACTCATCTGGTGTTTTCCTTGGCACACCAAACATCAAACCTGGACTACTTGACGATGCAATTCTTCAATTCGTCCCAAGTGGCGCTGGTCCAGTAGAGCGCATAGGCTTTGGTCAGCCCATCGTCCATGCTTTGCGGGTGCATCTCCTCGAGCCGGTCCTGGCGCCAGGCCGATCGTCCATGAAGTCGTAGAAGGATAGCAACAACAAATGGGCCTTGGTAGTACCAAATCAATACAACTATCAATATATTGTAATAGTAGCTTCTTGTTCCTAGTAGTAAGGCCATTAGCTACTAGTAGCGTCCTTGCTCCTAGTAGCGATGTCCTTTGCTCCTAGTAGCTACTTGTTCCTACAGTGTTATATATCATGTACACACCCGTGCTTTTATGTGAACACGGGTTCAGGTACCGCCCCCCCGATTGGTTCAACTTTTTCCTGCAACACCGATCCCTCATCCTGCTGTGCCTTTGGCAGCTTCACCCGGACACCAAATAACAGTTCCACGGACTCTTTATTTTGGTGTCCAATCCTACCACCGACCTTCTAGGAAGGGCTTTTCATCCGGTGATTACATAAGATGCACTGAAGAAATCTGGAACGCCCTGAGTGGGGTGCGTACCTTGCCAATCTCTCACAATTTACAGTGCAAGGGAGCAAATGGGGTGGGCAGGATGCCCTCCATCGCAGCCCAATGCAGTGGTTCTTATATAAGGATTACAGTAAAGGTGTTCTGCCGAATGGAATTGGTCGTGGTAAGCCCTTGCAGGGCAGGAGCCCAAACATCCTCCCCAATGGACGGACTGCGTCATCCTCTGAAAACCTTCACAGCATGGTCTTGCCGAACATCGAATGAATCGAGTCACATCTGAGAGGGAACCCCGTCGGGTGGAGCCAAAGACATTGGTCTCGCTGACCGGGGCCACCGAGGGTGGCAATACCGTGAGCTTCATCATTCATCGGTCATCCCTTTCCGCCAAGGGTCGAAGGCTGCTTGTGGATCGATCATGGCCAGATTGCCCGTCAGCAGGATTGAGGTCCAGCTGTCCGTGGAGGACAACGGAAGATTGCACAAGATCTCGCTCCTTGGTGAAATTGGGTTTCAACAAATTGGTCATCAGCGAAGGTTGAATCTAGATATGAGGAGCTATGTACTGCAAGACTGCAAGACTTTATGATGGTGAGAGGGCAATCAACAGCTGTTGACCCACAGCCAACTATTGTCGTACAGCAAAATCCTTGAATATGATTGACTGTGTGGATGTAATGTGCGTGATGCATTAGGGCGCATCTCCAAAAAGCACCCGGCATTCGGAGCCTCTTTTTTGCTTTCCAGCCGCAACGAGAAGTCTCCGGCAACCATCACGCATTCCGCATTGATGGTCACATCTGTACCAACAAGAGACCTACAACAAAGCGTCGAACGAAATACTCCACGAGTGGGGAGTAAGGCTAGCGCCCTTTGCAAATGCCCTGGCCAGCATTTCAAGAGCGGGAGTTGGCAACCAAGCTTCAGCTCCAACAAAGGCCCCTTTAGGAAAGGTCTTACCATTGCTCTTATTGCCTTTTTCGAGCAAAAGTGGAGCGACAGTGACCTGCTTGTGCTTGCAGACTGCAAAACCAGCTCGGATGATACTGGCATATGCTTGAGGTGTACTCAGAGTCCCAGAAGACAGTTGAAACCGCCAACCATTGGTGAACGCCAGAACGGCTAACTCGAACACTGAACATGCAAAATTTTCCCCCACTCTCCATTTCACAGAGGCACAAAATTGCAAAAAGGTTCGGAAATTCACCTCGGTGAGCTTGTTATTCTCCCGAAAAGGCACATTGCCTGGGTGCTGCGCCTGCCACACGTATAAGGAGGAAGACACATCCCACGGCCAACGAGGAAACATCTGTCGAGCAGAATAAGGAACAACAGGTGCATCAGTGTTACGGGCCACAGCCGGAGCAGTGACAGCTGGCTTCTTACACCATTTATTACACTTAGCCAACCAAAGTTGCCTGGCAAAAACATCTGCTTCCTTACTGGCAAGCTCAGCCTTGATGGCACGGGCAGTGTCAGAAATGTGCTGTTTTGCATGATAGTCGGCAAGCCTGTTGAGTACAATATCACGCATAGTCGATCCAGCCCGTTGAGCTTCTTCTTCGGTAATTTGCGAGCTTGGGATATGCTCCAATAAATGAGCAGGACACCACAGAAGTTGCAAAGGAGAATCATGGAAAGCCCTGCGCTGTTGCAGCAAAGTCAACAAGTGTCCCCACCAGTTGGCGTGTGTCCACTCAACTGACACTTTGTCATCATGTAGCAACATAGAGAACTGTTGCACAATTGTCAGTGAATCAGTATGGATCACCAGAGGTTGCGATGCAAACGAAAAGGCACAAAGCACAGCCCAAAGCTCAGCGCTATAGCTTGACAGCCTCCAATGGTGGACCCGGCCCACGGCCAATACAGATTCATCACAACGAATTGCTGCAAAGGAGGCCAAAGCCAACCAAGGATACTGCGTAAGCTGAACAGATCCATCCGTCCAGACATGCTCCACAGGCCCAATGTCCAACGACCATTGCTGAACGCGCAAATCTGAGGGCTTAGAGACAACCAACTTGCGCCGGATTTCCTCGATTGGAATTTCCGCAATTCCCAAAGCCGGGAAGTTTGGCCCAAAGAAGAATTTGGTGGCAGGTTGCCGAAGCTCAGCAGGAAGTGCCCCACATTCATTGACAAAGTGCGGGAGTGACTCCTTGGAATCGTGACAAAACCTGCAGTCGGCTGTATCAGCAAGGCCAGCTGCTGCAAGGCGATCAGCTGTCAATGTACAGCCTGTAATAGCACTGTCCCAGTGAAAGAGAAAGCTGTAGCCCTCATTTGGCACCTTGGTGAGCTTCTTTTTGGCCGACAAAGTCATGGGAAGGTCAAGAAAACCCGTGGCCTTGCTAACATCCTTACGTGGCATGAGACAGGCTGTATGGTAGCACTTATTCGCTGCCAGTCCCTTAAGAATGCACTTTAAGTCCGGGATCGAAAAATCCAGAAAGTTTACAGGCTCCGAATCGAACATGGAGAACTCAAAAGTGTGCACCCAATCGATATCCAAAATGTGACATGCTTGGCCAAATTGTGTCATCCAAGCCTGTGCAGTGAGCTGATCCTGGGCATAGAGCTGCTGCCATTGTTGTCTGGCATATTGCGAATTCTGAAGAAAACGGGCAGATTCCAGAATCGTAGTGAGAGCCCTGCACAGAAAAGGATCAAGGCGATGTGCCTTGTGCACAATACAAAGCAGAAGGTGCTTCGATCGCCACTTGGGCCGGTCTTGCCATAGAGCATCGGCTACAGCACTTTGCAACTTGGCCAGAAGTCTTTTGGGGATGAAGTTCAACTGAGGAGCAAAAGCAATCTGAGGAAGCACTTTGGTAGCCAGGATCTGTGCACGCTTGTACGCATCACAAGGCAGCCCACGAATAAAAGATGCCGGCCAAAACAGGATGTTGGCACAGCTTCCCTGCATTGATTCTTGATTTGATGCAGGCGTGGCATATTCAGGCCACTTCAAGCCTCTCTCAATCTCACCACCTTCCACACACTCAGAAGGTTCCACTGCCCAGTGTTAAACAGCAAACGTATCTCCATGTATCTCTTTAGGATTCTTTAGGTGCCTGAAAGTCCACATGGCAGACTTGAGGCCAGAGGGGGTGAACGAAAGCTAGCTAGGGGGTGAACAAGAGTCTGGTCGTCAGGGATGGGCGCTGCTGCGCTGGGTGCTCTGCTGGCGCCGGGTCGTCTGCTGCTGCTGCTGCTGCTGGCGCTGGGTGGTCTGCTGC